ACAGACATGCATTTAAATGAGATTTATTTCCCCAATTTCGTTTAACGGGATGAATGACTGGCAGTTGATTTTCGCCCAAATGATGTGAGTGGAGTTATTTTTCGTATTTTTAAGTGGAGTTTCGAGACTACCAGTAAATCAGTAGTATGACATGTATTCACCCTATTTCGTGTAAGGGAATAAAGAACTGGCAGTAGAGTTTTGTCAACTTTACTCATATTATAGTGAGCAAATTAAAATCCCAATCCTTCATTACCATACAAGAAATAGGATGAATAAGTGTCATATATCAGATCTTGTGGTAGTCTCGAACACCTACTTTTAAATACTATAATGCTATCAGCTGTTCATGTGGACTAAAGCTCCTCCAGCGAGATTCGAGCCCGCATCTGACCACCATTGTCTCACACAGCCACTGTTTCCAGTGGATCATCACTGGACTGGTGTGAATTACGAGGCCAGCCATTCCTCTCCAAAGATATGTCATTCATTCGTTCTCGATTTCTATGCCAGACACACTTTTGCCTCACAGTCAGGCTCCTCTGGAAGATGGTGACACGCTGGCACCCATTCCTGGTCGCTTGGCACAGTGACGATGTGTTGCCAGTTGCCGCGCATGGTTTGGGCTTGAGCCACTTTGTGGGCGTCGAGCCAGCAGTCCAATCGAACTGGCAGACAATGACGTCTTCAGTGACCTCCCGAGGCCTATTCCTTTCATTTTTCTTGCACGCTAAGACAAAGCGCATTTGGATGAGTCGCCTGCGATGCCAGTGTTCAGAAGACTTCCATTTCATGTTAAAGTGATCTTTGTTAAGGCATTTGTAGGGATTGCGAAGAAATGTCGGGTTTTGACGAATCTCTTGTTTCATAATTGTTGAGCTTACTTCCATTTTGAGTGAAAGTGTTGGGTGAACAGATTTGAAGGTCGGTTTCACCAGAAGACGACCAGCGACGGATTCATCTTGACCAGCTGTCGATTGGCTTTACTCAAATATTCATGGTGACGCTGTTGTCATGGGAAGCTCCTTCGATTTCGGCGAAAAGGACCTAATCTTTCGTCCGTCATGTGACGAACATCATCGAAGCACGGTATCATCGTCACAAGGGGCCAGTAAAAGTCACCGGCAAATCTTGTCTCGTTAGCCTGAATTTGGTTGTGACGAGATGTTCTTTACATGACGCACGAAAGATTAGCTTCTTTTCGCCGGAATCGAAGGAAATTGCCTCGGTAACAGCGTCAGCATGACTGTTCCAATAAAGCCAATCGAAAGTTGGTCAAGAGTAATCCGTTGCTGTTTGAATCTCTTCTGCTAACACTTTCTCTCATTTCTCTTTCTCCATCTCTTCTGCTTGCCCATTTGCAGGCTCTACTCCGAGTCGGATTGTCGAACGCCGGTCGTCAACCTGTTGAGTGTAGGCTCCGACCCGACAATGATGATCGAGCAGATGGCGCGTCGGATACGTGTCCCTCTGTCCGTCGTCTCGATGGGCCAGGGCCAAGAGGTGCACGCCAGACGACTTCTGGCCCGAACCATGACGGAAGGTGGTTGGGTGCTATTGCAGAACTGCCACCTCTGCCTCGACTACATGAATGAGGTGCCTACAGACCTCTCTCTATATATCTATCTATCTATCTATCCCTTTCGCTACTTGATTGTAATGGTGGCGTGGGTTGCGGAATGTCCGAGTGAATTCAAAAATAGGGGACAGACTCGGTGAGGTTTTGGGTAGAAAAAGTGATTTTGGGAGAATTTCTCAATAAATCCAGTTTTCGATAGTACCTTTGAGTTCGTGGGAAGAGGCGAGTTGAAGATATTTGTAAATTGGCCTCACACCAGCTGTAGGCGTGATTGTGTATTTGTGCGAATATTTCCTCGACGCACCGCCCAGCGACCGCGACGAATGCGTGCCAACTTTTCGTCCTTCAAATGACGCACATTGTCACAGCCTACTCGCACGCCTCGATGTCTTGGCTGTGCTTCTCGGTTGAGCAGAAGCAGAAGTGATGGTGCAACCAACCAACCAACCAACCAAACAACCAAACAACCAAACAACCAACCAAACAACCAGCCAAACAACCAACCAAACAACCAACCAAACAACCAACCAA